ATATATACACCACATATTCTTATCCATTGATCTGTTAATGGCACTTAGGTTGCTTCCCTATCTTGGCAATTGTAAATAATGCTGCTGTGAACATTGGGATGAATGTATCTTTTTGGATTAGTGTTTTTGTTTTTTTGCTGTGTACCCAGGTATGAAATTGTTGGGTCTTATGATAATTCTACTGTCAGTTGTTTGAGGAACCTCCATACTGTTTTTCATAGTGGCTGCACCAATTTACATTCCTACTAACATTTTGCTAGGGTTCCCTTTTCTCTACATCCTTGTTGACACTTGTTGTTTGTAGACTTGATAGCCATTCTGTATGAGGTGTGTGTTTTGATTTGCATTTCTCTGATGGTTAGTGATGTTGAGGATCTTTTCATCTGCCTGTTAGCCATCTGTCACCTTTGGAAAAATGTCTGTTCAGGTTCTCTGCCCAAGTTTTAATCATTTTTAAAAAAAATCTTGAGTTATATGACTTTTTAATATTTCTGGATATTAATAACCTCTTACCTTGCATATCATTTGCAAATATCTTTTCCCATTCAGTATGTTGACTTTTTGTTTTGCTGATGGCTTCATTTGCTATGCTAAATTTTTAAGTTTGATTGTGTGCATTTTATTTTTGCTTTTGTTTCTCCTCTCTTGCTTTAGGAGACAGATCTGAAAAATATTGCTAAGAAAGACTTATGTCAAAGAGCATACTGCCTCTGTTTTCTTATGTGAATTTAATACTATACTTTTTTGATCACTATAACTATAAATCTTGAATCAGTGAAATAAATAAATCTTGAATAGTGAAAATCCTCTAACATTTCCATAGGAGGCGTTTTCATATAATTCACATGATCAATTTGTCAGTTTCTGGGGGGAAAGAAGTTTGGTATTTTGACTGAAGTTACTTTGAATCTATAGTTCTGTTTGTGGAGAAGTGACATTTTAGCAAAACTGAGTTTTCAGATACAGTTGATTTTTATATGTTGATTTTTATACCTTCAACCTGACCTAACTCCCTCTAATAATGTTTCTTGTAGATTCCATAGGATTTTCTGTATAGAGTATCATGTTGTCTGCCAATAAAATCAATTTTAACTTATTCCTTTCAATATTTTGTTTTCTTGCTTTGTTGCACTGGTCAGAACCTCTGCTACAATGCTGAATATAAGTGGCAAGAGCATGCAACTTGCATTATTTTCTTAAAGTGTTGTCTTTTATCATTAATATGATTCCAACTGTAGATTTTTCCTTTTTAAAAAATTTTTTTATTGAAATATAGTTGATTTATAATATCATGTAAGTTTCAGAATGTGTGTGTGTGTCTGTGTGTGTGTGTGTTAGTAGCTCTCACGTCTGACTCTTTGTAACCCCATGGACTGTCGTCCACCAGACTCCTCTGTCCATGGGATTTTCCAGGCACAAATAGTGGAGTGGCTAGCCATTCCCTTCTCTTGGGTATCTTCCCAACCCAGGGATTGAACCCAGGTCCCCTGCATTGCAGGTAGGCTTTACTGTCTGAGCCACCAGAGACGCCTCGGTTTTAGGTGTACAGCATAGCAGTTCAGCTGCACATATATTTATGTGTGTATATATATATTTTTCCCTTGTAGATTGTTACATAATATTGAGTATAGTTCCCTGTGCTATACAGTAGGTCATTGTTGGTTGCCTGTTTTATACATAGTTGTGTGTATATGTTAATCCCAGCCTCATAATTTATCCCTCCCCATCCCCTTTTTCCCTTTGATTAGCATAAGTTTGTTTTCTGTGTCTGTGAGTCTCTTTCTGTTTTGAAAATAAGTTCATTTGTGTCTTCTTTTTCTTTTAGATTCTACAGATAAGCTATATTGTATATTTGTCTTTGTCTGACTTACTTCACTTAGTATGATAACCTCTAGGTACATACACATGCATATACACATACACACACTCATATACGTATGTGTGTGTGCTTAGTTGTGTCTGATTCTTTGCAGCCCCATGGACTGTAGCCTACCAGGCTTCTCTGTCCATGGAATTTTCCAGGCAAGAATACTGGAGTGGGTTGCCATTTCCTACTCCAGGGGGCCTTCCTGACCAGAGATGGAACTTGCATCTTTTGCATTACAGGCAGATTCTTTACTACTTAGCCACTAGAGAAACCCTGTTTGATTAGGACCCATTTGTTTTTCATAGATGCTCTTTATCAGATTAAGGTAATTCTTTTATTCATAATTTTCTGGGTATTTTTATAAGGATGGATAGTAGGCTTTGTCAAATGCTTTTTTGTTGTTGTTATTCTGTTAATGTTGTGATTACATTGATTTCCAAATGTTAACCTTGCATTGTTTTAGTAAACCCCCCCTTGGTCATCATGTATTATCCTATTTATGTATTGTTGGATTAGGTTTACTAAACTTTTGTTAAGAAGTTTGGTGTTTTTGTTCACAAAGGATATTGATTCATACATATTTTTTCTCATAATGTCTTTGTAGCTTTGGTATCAAGGTAATGTTAGCCTCATAGAATGAGTTGGAAAATATTCCTTCCTCTTTCATTTTCTAGAAGAACTTGTGTAAAATTAGTGTTATATCTTCCTTAAATATTTGGAAGAACTTAGTGAAGTCTTTTTGTGCATGTAGTTTTAAAATTTGTGAGTTTTTTTTAATTTGTGAGTATTTTTAACTACAAATTCAACTTCTTTAGTAGATATGAAACTGTTTTAGTTACCTATTTCTTTTAAAGTGAGCTTTGGTAGTTTGTGTCCTTTAAGATTTGTATATTTCATATAGATTGTTGAATTTATTGGGATTAAGTTGTTCATGTTATTGCCTTATCCTTTTTTTTTAATGGTCAGTTGATTTGTGTGTGTGTATGTGTGTGTGTGTGTGTTTTAACTGAAAAAGATTGTTTAAAGTTTTGTGTTAATTTCTTGTGTATAAAAAAAATTTCTGGTGTATAGCAAAGTGATCCAGTTATGTATATAATATATATATATATAATATGTATATTCTTTTTCACTGTAGGTCATTATAAGGTATTGAATATAGTTTGCCATACTTTACACTATGACTTTCTTATTTATTACATATATAGTAGCTTATTATCTTTTTAAAACCTGTTGAATCTATAGTGATGTCACCTATTTATTTTTGATGATTTGTGTCTTGTGTGTGTGATATAGGTTTATCAGTTTATTGGTTTCCCTGGAGAATCAGCTTCGGTATGATTGATTTTCCTGTTTTGTATTTCATGGTTGTCCACTCTTTATTATTTCTTTTCCTTCTGCTTACCTGGGCTTCATTTGACCTTCTTTATCTAGTTTTTTAAGGTGGAAGTTGAGATCATTGATTAGAGACCCTTCTTATTTTCTGATATAAGGATTTGATCTTATAACTTTCCCTTTAATATACTGCTTTAGCTTCATACAACAAATTTTTATTTCTTGTGTTTATTTTCATTCAGTTCAAAATATTTTAAATTTCCCTTTTGATTTCTGTTGGCCGAAGAGTAGCTTAGAAGTATGTTATATCATTTCCAAATATTAGAGAATTTTTTAGATATCTTTCTGTTAATGATTTCAGTTTGATTCTGTTGTGGTTAGAGGATGTATTTTGTGTGATGTGAATCTGTTTTAAATTTATTGAGATTTGTTTTTTAGCCCAGAATATGATCCATCTTGGTAAATATTTTATGAATACTTAAAGAAAATGTATATCCTAATGTTGTTGGATAGCATGTTCTATGAATGTCATTTAGGTCCAGTTGTTTAACAGTTATTTTTATCTTGTATATCCTTACAAAGTTTTCAGTCTGCTGCTTCTTTCAATTATACATGAATATATGGATGTAGAGAGGAGGAATGTGGAAAATGGCTTGCTAATGGCATTTGTAAAGCATCATTGAGCAAAGAAGGGAGGTGAGAGTTGTGGTAGAGAAGGGGAAAGGTTGGGGTGGTATTAAGACCAGCAAGGGAATCAAGTAATACCAAACTAATTATTATAAGCAGTAGAGATTTAGAGGATTTAAAGTGGGTTATGCACTTTTTAAACCCAGCTATATATATCAGATAACAAGCATTACTCTCAGAGGGAGCATGAATAGAGATGACAAATAGGCAACAATCAATTGATTAATAATGTAGGCAGCAGTTACAAGAAGTTGAGAGGTTATTTTCCAACATTTTAAGAGGGATTTAATTTTCTCAGCATAACTACTAATGATTCTTTTACTAAGTAGTTAATCAACAGCAGCAACATCAACATCAAAATGAACATTTATTGTTGTGAACTTATGTGCCAGACGCTAAGCTAAAAATACCTTACATGTGTTTTCATCTCAGCGCTAGGATATGAGTACCATTACTACCATTACTACTACTCCTACCTTACAGATGAAGAAATTGAGATTTGGTGGGCTTAAATAACATCTCAAAGGTTCACTCAGTGGGGAGTGATGAAGACCGGGTTGAGCCTGACCCTATTTTATAGTGTCTGTTGTTGATTTCCCTGTCCCCACCCTCCAATAAAATGAAGAATCCTTTCTGGTTCTGAGTTTTACTAGAATAGCTTTTATTCAGTAGGTGACTCTCAGACTTCTTTTACTATGACATTAAGAAAGGCATTTTACATGGCAGTTGAGTACATTTATTATATATACTTATGTGTATGTTATGTTTGTGTGTATTTCTTTAAAACATACTTGGCTTTAATGTGTACTTTAGATTTCATTTTCTATTGGTTCTTTCTCCTCTTCTTTTCTTTCCTGTCACGTTTAACATGGATTGCAATCCAGGTCAGAAAACAGTAATCTTATTTCAGCCAGGAGAATTGTAGACAAATATGGAGCACTGCAACTATATGTATATGAGAAATGCATTTTGGGTGGGCGGAAGAGATTTAAGTCACCATTTGAAAACAGAACACTATGTCTTATACAATGTAGATTGCTTTAAAGAAAAAAAAAGTTGCCTTTTTTTTAAAGGTAAACCTGAGGAGTGATGTATTTGGTTTTTCTTTTTAAAGCTCTCTGATCCTTCTGATTTACCAAGGAATGCCTTTAGAATTTTTACCATTCTTGTGGAATTTTTATGTATTGAACATATTGATTATGCCTTGGAAACAGGACTTGCTGGTAAGTATATTTATTTGTATTATACTTCATATTAAATTCCTTTGACCCTGTTTGGTTAAACTGTATGCGTACTGTTGTTTTATATATATTCATCTCAGTCAATGCAGCAAAATGCTTTTTGAACTTCCTGTAGTGCAAGGATTTGTCAGATGCTAAAAGCTATACAAAGACACAGTTCTCATGTTGCTTACATTGAGCAGGGCAGGATAAGCTACATAAGTCGCAGCAGTGTATGGCAGAGTGTAATACAATGCTGTAAGTTATTAAATGCCAAGGGGGCAGAAATGGAAATGACAGCAGTTCTTGAGACAGTTGAGTAATGTAAAGTTTGGAAAGGTAAATGAGTCTTACCAATAAGCCTGGAAAGGAATATACTCATATGATATTTTTTCTTTTGTTTTTGGCCTTTTGGGTTTACTGATATTAATAAGATAATAATGACCTCTTCCCTAAATTCTAGTCCCATTAGTTCAGTTGCCTCCTTGACTTCTATCATCTGTTCTGTGTGCATCTCAAATTTAATGTATCCAAAATGAAACTCTTTATCTTCCATCTATACTTCTTCCTTTCCCATTATTTCTCATGTCTTTAAAAGGCATTGCTGTTTACTATTTGCTCAAGCCCCAAACCCGCGAGTTGTCATAATTCTTCTTTTCATCAAGCCTGAAAACCAGTCTGTCAGTAAATCCTGTCTATATACTGTCAAACATAACTCAAATTCGCCTACTTTTCTCCCGTCTCCATCGATGCCAACCTGATTTAAACATTGTGATCTCCATCTGCTCCTAAGTGGTCTCTCTGTATGTTCTTACCTTTCCAAATAACTGACTCCATGTAGCAGTCATGTTATAAATTTAAGAGTCTTAAATTTTTTTTGTTTAAGACCTTTTAGTGGTTTCCTATTACATGTAGGTGGAAAACAGCAACAAACTCTTTACAAAAGCATAGTTTTGATCTGGCCTCCTTTTATATATTCATCCTCATCTCATCTGCATTTCCCTTCACTACCCCAGCCACTCTGGCCTTTATTCTTTTTCCTCACTCAGGTTCTTTGCACTTGGTGTCCTCCGTCTCCTGACCCCCATTTCTTTTTCTTCAGCTCTTCTCATGCCTGGCTTTTCAGCCTTCTGATCTTCACTGAGGTGCCACATTTTTAGAGTCTTTTGCTGATGAACCTAGCTAAAGTGACCCACTTCTTCCAGCCTACTTACTCATTATTTCATCATTGAATTAACTTTTTTCATAGCACTTGTTACAATAAAATTTTCATCCATTTGTATTTGCCTCACTCATTGAACATATACTTAAGTGCTTACTCTTATGAACTTACATTCTTATGGAAAAGATTGACAAATGGCTAGTAAGTACAGTGGATAAAAATACAATTGAGTAAGAAATAGAGAATAGTAATGGGAGGTAGAATGGGGAATTCAGGGTGAAGAGGGCTTTTTTAGAAAGGATGGTCAGAGAAGGCCTCTCTGAGGAGACATGAATCAGCTTAATGAAGTGAAGGAATAAATTGAATATTTGGAGAAAGAGTATTTTAGGCAGAGAGAATAGCATATAATTTAATGTAGATAGGAATCTTATTTGTCTTAATTGCATTATAGTCTGGCACCTAGAAAGCTAGTGGAGGTGATGGATTTCCAGCTGAGCTAGTTCACATCCTAAAAGATGATGCTGTTAAAGTGCTGTACTCAATATGCCAGCAAATTTGGAAAATTCAGGCCACAGGACTGGAAAAGGTCAGTTTTCATCCCAATCCCAAAGAAAGGCAATGCCAAAGAATGTAAACTACTACACAGTTGCACTCATCTCACATGCTAGCAAAGTAATGCTCAAAATTCTCCAAGCGAGGCATTAACAGTATGTGAACCAAGAACTTCCAGATGTACAAGCTGGATTTAGAAACGGCAGAGGAACCAGAGATCAAATTGCCAACATCTGTTGGATCATAGAAAAAGCAAGAGAATTCCAGAAAAACATCTGTTTCATTGACTACACTAAAGCCTTTGACTGTATGGATCACAACAAACTGGAAAATTCTTAAAGAGATCAGAATACCAGACCACCTTACCTGCCTCCTGAGGAATCTGTATGCAGATCAAGAAGCAACAGTTAGAACTGGACATGAAACAACGGACTGGTTCAAAATTGGGAAAGGAGTGTGTCAACACTGTATATTGTCACCTTGTTGGTTCAACTTACATACAGAGTACATTATGTGAAATGATGGGCTGGATGAAACAGAAGCTGAAATCAGGATTGCAAAGAGAAAACTCAGTAAACTCAGATATACAAATGACACCATCCTTATGGCAGAAAACGAAGAGAAATTAAAGAGCCTCATGATGAAAGTGAAAAAGCTGGCTTAAAACTCAACATTCAAAAAACTAAGATCATGGCATCTGGTCCCATCACTTCATGGCACATACGTGGGGAAACAATGGAAACAGTGACAGACTTTATTTTCTTGGGCTCCAAAATCATTGCAGATGGTGACTGCAGTCATGAAATTAAAGGACACTTGTTCCTTAGAAGAAAAGCTATGACCAACCTAGACATCATGTTAAAAAGATCTAGTCAAAACCATGGTTTTTTCAGTAGTCATATTAGTGTGAGAGTTGGACTATAAAGAAAGCTGAGCACTGAAGAATTGATGCTTTTGAGTTGTGGTGTTGGAGAAGACTCTTGAGAGTCCCTTGGACTGCAAGGAGATCCAACCAGTCAATCCTAAAGGAAATCAGTCCTGAATATTGATTGGAGGGACTGATGTTGAAGCTGAAACTCCAGTACTTGGCCACAAGATGCAAAGAACTGACTCATCGAGAATGTCCTTGATGGTGGGAAAGATTGAAGCCAGGAGGAGAAGGGGATGACAGAGGATGAGATGGTTGGATGGCAACACCGACTTGATGGACATGAGTTTGAGCAAGCTCCGGGAGTTGGTGATGGACAGGGAATCCTGGTGTGCTGCAGTCCATGGGGTCACAAAGAGTTGGACATGACTGAGCAACTGAATTGAATTGAACTGAAGCTATTAGAAAGCACATAGCACATGCTGAAAAATGTTTGTGTATAACATCTTTCTTTAAAAGTTTGTGAGGTTGAATCAAAATTACCCATAATTCAATAACCTTGTGGTTTATTCTCCCCCTCCCCTGCTTTTTTTATTATTATTATTTTAACCTAGTTGCTCTCAGGATGTGCATAAACATTTGTAGCCTGCTTGCCTACCCTTCCACTTATAGCAGAAACTTGACATTAAGTATTTAACATTAGCAATTGGCAAATAACCTAATTTGGTCATTTATATTGAGATAATATCTGCCTCAAAGATATGAAGGTAATAAAAAAAGTAACAAATTTGATTCCATATGGTAGTAAGGATTTGTTCTTTAGTATGGAAGTCTAGCATCTTCATTTTAATGGCAGTGTTCATAATTTAGAAGGGCTTAGGAAATTTTCTGGTAGGGTGAGAATATGCCTTCTATTCCTATGCATTTTCTATGCGGCTGTAGTGAACTTTGTAGAACTTACAAAGTGTTTTCCTTCTTCTGAATTATTTACTCTGGATAAAATTCTGGAACTAAAATCACTGGATCAGTGTGTTGCAAATTTTTAAAATTTCTGTGCATATAAACTATTTTCATAAGGATTTTTTCTCCCACTAATCTATACTGCTACTGGCATGTATGCTTATACCCATTTTTCTACACTCACTGAATTTTCTCTAAGAACTTTTAATAATTTAGTAATTTAAAGACATACGTAACTATTGCTTTTCATGTCTTTCATCAGTAGCCGGGATTAGTATTTCATATGTACAGGTGTATTGACTATTTTTTTCTCTTGTAAGTTTGTGTTGGAGGCTTTAGTTTTCTTGCCAGTTGGTGATTTTGTCATTTGTGGGAAAATAAAACACCTTGTTTTAAAACTTTGGGGAAAAAAATCATCCTTCTGTAATGAACTCTAGGTATTAAACTTTTAATTTCTCATTTTCTCTGAGTATTTCTCCTGGCCCTTTATGCCTTTTAATTTTAGCTAGAAACATAAATATCTGTGGTTAGTAGGCATCATGGAATTCCTCTTTTGCAAAAGAGGAAACTGAAATCTGAAGAGGTCAGCTGTCTGTTTTGTGGTCACAATGTGAAGTGGCTTGAATACAATGCTGAAAATCAGGAATTAATTTTGTTGACAGTGAGGAGTCTTTGAATATTTTCTAGGAAGTGGTAGATAGAGAACATAGTGAAGTATGTTAAGTACCTTACTCTGGCAACAAGATATAGCATAAAAAAATAAGGAGATTTGAACTAATAAGAAAGTTATTTTAACTGTTATCAGAGTTATTGAGACCTGGTTATAAGAAAAATGGTATTAATAGAAGTGTGTTCATGGTTCATGTGAATCTTTAGGCGCAGGAGGGCGGGGAAGGAGAAAGTATAGTTCAAGATGATTCACTTACAAGTTTAGTTTTTGATTTATCTCAGCAAACAATGAAGACTTGAGTATATGGTGAAAATTTTGGCATTAAAACTTTGTTATTAACGAGCTTAATTTTACTCTTTTTGTCCACAAAAATTATTGCTGACTTACTGAAACAGCAGTTCTTTTTATGCATGTTATATATATATATATAAAACCACATTCTTTTTTCTGTTGCCTAGATGAATTTCTTTAATATGATTCTAACATATGCATGCCTTCCAACTTTAGGAATTCCTTCTTCAGATTCTAAGAATGCAAATCTCTATTTTTTGGATGTTGTGCACCAAGCCAATACTATTTTTCATCTTTTTGACAAGCAGTTTAATGATCACCTTATGCCACTAATAAGGTTAGTCAAGTTGTCTGATTTTCATTGGTATTTCAAAGAATATTATAATATTCTACTTTATGTTAAATTTTAAAAGTAATAGCTGTTCATTGAAGCATCAAACAGGAGGGTGTGAAATAAGAAGCCACCTAGTTGCTCTCAGGGTGTGTTTAAGCATTTGTAACCTGCTTCTTTCCTCTCCTTCCTGTCTCACAGCAGAAATTTGACATCAAGTATTTAACATTTACCATTTGCAAATAATGTAGTGTGGTAATTTGTATTGAAATAATAATATCTATCTCAAAGATGTGAAGTTTAAAGAAAATTTTTAAAAAGTAACATAAACTCTTCTTCCTTGCCTTCCTGTAAAAATCCCATGGATGGAGGAGCCTGGCAGGCTGTGGTCCATGGGGTTGCTAAGAGTCGGACACGACTGAGCAACTTCACTTTCACTTTTCACTTTTCACACATTGAAGAAGGAAATGGCAACCCACTCCAGTGTTCTTGCCTGGAGAATCCCAGGGACGGGGGAGCCTGGTGGGCTGCCGTCTGTTGGATCACACGGAGTCGGACATGGCTGAAGTGACTTAGCAGCAGCAGCAGCAGCAGCAGGACAAGTTTTGATGAGATATTAAATAAGATTTGGTTTATATCTTCCTGTCAATTTATGTGAACTTTTGAAGCCTATGAGAATTAAGTAAAGTAGTGTGTATGTGAACATGCTTTATAAAATTGTATGTGTAGTACTATCATTAAAGAGGAAAAATATTCATATAAAAGATAAAATTCTAGACATTTTTTATAAACATTGACATACCAAGAAATTATTAGTCTAGAAATGACCTCAAAGATATAGATTACTTGTGATCTTTGAATCACATTTTGAGAGGAAATTTACTTTTTAATGAGCTCTAACTAAGCCATGCCGTGTGAGGCCTCCCAAGACGGTCGGGTCATGGTGGAGAGGTCTGACAGAATGTGGTCCACTGGAGAAGGGAATGGCAAACCACTTCAGTATTCTTGCCTTGAGAACCCCATGAAAAAAACTTGATGGGCATGAGTTTGAGTAAACTCCAGGAGTTGGTGATGGACAGGGATGCCTAGTGTGTTGCGCCAGAGTCGGACACGCCTGAGCGACTGAACTGAACTGAATGCCACATAGTGAAGAATTCACATATAACTATTAAGGTTGCATATTCTTTAGTATTTTGGGTGTTATTTGACATTTAGGTAATATTCAGAAGGCAATAAGACTACCAAGTTGTTGGGTTTGGTTTTTTAATATAGAAAAGCTAAATTCAACTGGATTGAGTGTTAGTCTACAAATTTTCATTAATAGAATTTACTATAGTTTCAAGATGCTGTTATTTTTCTTACCCAGAAATTTAATTAAAAAGGAAACTAAATAATTCCAAAATCATGTTTATTAAAGGGATATCTCCTCAGAGATGAAAATAATAAATCTAAATCCTCCTCTTTTAACTGATAAATTTTTCCTAGCATGACTGTTGTAATGAATTGAGTGTAGTGAATACTAAATAATTACTGTTTATAATGCTTCTTGGATTTGGAAGCAATTAAAATAATGTATGTGTGTGTATGTGTGTCTAGGTATGTAACAATAAGCAGGAATTATGAAAACTTGTAGAATTCTGAGGTTACTAATATGATTTTTATTCCCCCTTTAAACATTCAATAGCTCTTCTCCTAAGTTATCTGAATGCCTTCAGAAAAAAAAAGAAATAATTGAACAGATGGAGATGAAATTGGATACCGGCATTGATAGGCAAGTTTTTAGTTTTACTATTTCTCTTGCATTTTTTTATTTGTAAAACACCATTATAACAACATGAAAACTATTTTCAGACAAGAAAAAGGTCTATTTGAATTCCACTATCCTGCTATAATGTTTGATTTTATTTTTACATATTTATTTCATCCTAATAATTTATTTTATTGGATTCCAGATTATTTATGAAAGTCAGCAGGTTTAGATTAACTTTAGACCAATTCTGTTTGAAAAATCTTTCTTTTTTTTTTTGGTAAATGCTGCCTCCTATAGACACTCTGTCTCTCTCTGTTCCCACTCCTCCCTCTCTCTTCCCTCTCTCCCTGCCTTCCTCCCTTCCCTTTCCCTCTTCCTCTTCCTCTCTCTAGACTCCTTAAAAATGGTATGTAACCTGGAAGATTTCAGGCTTATATCTGAAATGCATTAAATTAATATACCAATTTTCTAAAAGTAACTTCCAGTAAGTGAGTGAAAACTACATTTGAAAAATTTTTTGATGTTTATTTTAGTTAGTTACCTGTTGATAATATGGAGTGGTGGATTCTGTCTTTTGAGATAATAGTGAGCATATGTTGATGATGATAATCATCCTATTTATCAAGCATTTATCAGGTGTTTGCTATATGCTTGGCACAATTCAAGGATCTTTACCTGTATAATTTCATTCACCTGCAATGCAGGAAACTCAGGTTTGATCCCTGGGTTAGGAAGGTCCCCTGGAGAAGGAAATGGCAAACCACTCCAGTATTCTTGCCTGAGAAATCCCATGGACAGAGGAGCCTGGAGAGCTGCAGTCCATGGTTTGCAAAGAGTTGGACATGACTGGGTGATTATCACTTTCACTTTCTTTCACTGGCACAGTACAAGGATCTTTACCTGTATAATTTCATTTAAGTAAGAAATATCATTTCCATTTTACAGATGAGGAAGTGAAAGCTTAAAGAAATGAAGTAGTTTTCTAGAGATCATACAGTTAATGCTGGTAGAACTGGAACTAAAATTCTAAAGCCCATGCTACCAGGTTTGGGCATATTTTTACTTTAATTCTCCTTTCTCTTCCATTCAAGAAGATATACGAATATAAGTTACTTATATGAACTCTGGCTCTAGATATCTTTGCCTTTTACCAATCTGTCCTTTCCCATCTTTGTTTTATTCACTGTTAATGCTAGATTGCTTGTTCCATATCTTTTAATTACTCCCTCGTAATTACCCTAAAATTTATTTCCTTTGATCATAACTATCTTACAGATCCTAAACTCTGGATTAATGCAGATTCTATTATTCTGATAACTGGATGGCTCATTGCTGTTGGAGAATGTCGCAAAACTCAGACATTGTTCATGCCATTACAAACTCATACTTCCTTTCTCAACTGGGCCTTCAGTACCCCTTATTCAGCCTCCTGCTTGTCCTTAGACTATGAAATTCAGGTTCTTTTTACCTGTTCTTCCAAACTTTGGCTATTCCTTATAAGTCCTTCTATCTTACTCCCTTCCTAAGCATTCTCCAAATATACTTGGTGAAGGAAATGAATTAGTGACAGTCCTCTAAGATCTTTAAGATTTCCTTAAATAAAGTAATAGACAAATGAATCTTTGCCCTGTGTTTTGAGCAGGAAGCTAATAAAACTAAGATCTCTTTGCTATCAAGATCTAGAATTTACTTGTTTTAAAATCTGAAGTATACCAATAGTAAAATAGTTTTATGGTGACATGAAATTAAATAACTTTAATTTAGTATAAATAATATAAATTAAAGTAAATTAAATGGATCAGATACATGGTATTCTCAATTCTCTAGGACGTTAAATTGTATGATTGGACAAATGAAGCATATCTTGGCTGCAGAACAAAAGAAAACAGATTTTAAGCCAGAAGATGAAAACAATGTTTTGATTCAGTATACTAATGTGAGTAAAATGATTTACTATGTTAGTAAGAATATCTGCTTTATTCTTACTCTTATTAACATTTCATTGATGTATCTTATTATGTTCCAAGTTTTTTTTTTATACTTAGATTAGTGAGAAATTATATGTATTTTCTTCTTAGCTATGCTGATACATATTTCTGTGTAGTAAGTGTAGAAAAAATTTTACAGGCCTGTGTTAAAGTCTGTGCTTACGTAAGAAAACAAGTGGAGAAGATTAAAAATTCCATGGATGGGAAGAATGTGGATACAGTTTTGATGGAACTTGGAGTACGTTTTCATCGACTTATTTATGAACATCTTCAACAATATTCCTATAGCTGTATGGGTGGCATGTTAGCAATTTGTGATGTAGCTGAGTATAGGAAGTGTGCCAAAGACTTCAAGGTATGTATTCACAAATATTAAACTTTAAATAAGTTCAAGAACATAAGTCAGATCATAAAAATGTGTATTGACATAATCATTAGTGGAAAGTTTATAACTTTTGTTGATACTGTAATGAGACAGATCTGACATTTCCTAAATGAAAAAGTATTCCAATCATAATTCCAGTATTAACACATTTTTGCTTTGAGCTTTTAGAAAATGCCATATTTTAGTTCCATAGTCCAGATGACCTTATTAATGCCCATAACTAATGCTGTATATCATGTATCAAGAAAATATGTTCTTTCTTCATTTATATCTCTCTGAAATCAGTTTCCATCCAATGTTTAAATTATTTTAAAAAGCTGTAAATTAATGATAAATAGTTCTACTTCGCAAAAGTATAAATGATTATTACTGTTTGAATAAATTGGCACAATATGAATCTTTTCAAAAAGATTTTAGTTTTTAACACTTTGGTAGCTTTTAAAAATTCTAACATTGAACTCTTTAACATTGGTTAAGTCCTGACAGTACATAAGTGAGAACAATTTACAAACTGATTATAAAACTAGAAATATTTTTTTCCTTCTCTTATCTCAACTCAGATTCCTCTGGTATTACAGCTTTTTGATACTCTGCATGCACTTTGCAATCTTCTGGTAGTAAACCCAGATAATTTAAAGCAAGTCTGCTCAGGAGAACAACTTGCTAATCTGGACAAGAACATTCTTCACTCCTTCGTACAACTTCGTGCTGACTATAGATCTGCCCGCCTTGCTCGACATTTCAGCTGAGGTTGAATTTACAAGGGAAATGTGTTGTACTCCAGCAAGCCTTGGTTGATAGAAAGCACAGAAGGTTTCTTATGACACAGCCAACATTTTATTGAAAAATGACTGTTTGGAAAAACAGCAGCCATACTTACCCTTGAGGATTTATTTGAAATTTGGACAATACTAAGAATATTTTCCTTTTTTCCTTAAGTTGAATTTTAATTCCATTTCTGAACTTATATAAATTTCAAACTCTGTAAAGCTATATGTCATTGTTTTCATCCTGGAAAATGTTGGTGTCAGAAGGTAAATGAGATTGTTACAAGTATTCCATCCAGTTCATGTTCTTTAACATAGTCCATTGGGAAATTTCAGCATCCTGTTTTGCACTAATGATGGGTAAAATACAGCAAGATTCATTTATTATTTATCAATTTTCAGTGACCTTTTAGCACTGGTAATTGTTAATCAGATTATTTTTAAGTTTTCCTGGAGAACTTTTTGCCTATTTCAAAGCTTAAAAATTGGGCATAATTTCTGTAGTTGGTTGATTGAATTTTTTCCTGAGGTATAGCATTAATTCTATTCCAAAAAAAATGTTATAAAAAAACTAAAAGGAAATACATTTTATGTAGGTATTAGCAGTGGATCAAAATACATCTGCTTTTGGGGTAAAAGGAAAAAAAATAGTTTACAATTTCTTATTTGGTAAACAGATTTTAAGCCAATGCTAGCAAGAAATTAATAAAGCTACCTTATTTTATATTTCACTTAAGATAAAACAGAGGATCTTAACTAAAGGACCATATTTATTCATTATTTTAATATTATAAGGGAAGTAAAAAAGTTGAGGTATAGTCTAAATGGTGCATATGAGAATTATTGGCAGTGTTTAGCAGCAATGCAATCCTTTAAGATTTTTATCCTTAACGCTAAACTGGAATAAGATGGAATGGCTAAACATGCAGGTAGTCTTCTATTTTAAGAGGAATTGGGAATTGATAGTCAGCATTATATTCTAGTCCAGAGATGAACTTTGTAAGGACTAGTAGTTTTTAAATATATAGTGTCTGTCATTATCTTTTTCAAGGCATTTCTGACGTGATTCCTACTGAGTGTAGTTAATTGAATTGGCTTAATATGGTGACATAATAAATCACTTATAAAATTTTAATTATCAAGTGGAAATTTAAAAAAATTATTAGCTATAAACTTTCTCTGCAAGATTACATTCTTAGCTGTATGTAGTGTTTCGGCTTCTCTTATATTGTTCATAGTCTTCCAGGAACAGATAAACTTCAATGTTTGATTCATTTTTGGCTTTTCTTTTTCCTCTAATGTAGGCTCTTTGGCCTAATTTTGGAAAACTACATTTAAGAATATGTTTCTGAATGTTCGACTTTACCAAAACTTCCAGGTCCAGAGTGAGCTAGCTACTGTTGAAGTTACTGTTAACTGAATTTTCTTCATTTTCTATTTAGCCCAGTGTTATCAAGTTAAGCAAGAGAAATAAAGTATGCCAACATTTATCAAAGCATTTTAGGAAATTATGGCAGCTTTGGAAGGCTGTCTAGTTTTCTATTCCTTAGCCAAAGGAAAGCCAGAACAAGTTTTGGATATTAGAGAAAGTCATATGCTTGCTTGTACTATTGCCATTTTAGAAAGCTCTGATGTGAATTCAAATTATACCTCTGTTACTTAAAGCCAACAATTTTAAAGCAGTAGTTTTACTGGCCATTTGAACTCTTTGTACACAGTGTCAATTTGTTTTAAAAAAAAAAGGGAAAAAATATCAAATAAAACATGAGAGAACATTATAAGACTTCTACATCAGAGAAGTGTTTCAAATTATTTTGTTTGGATTAATTTTTAAAATGTAAAGCATATATTTGTTGCTTAGCTATTTTGTTAATTTTTATTTTTATATTTGAGTTCTGTGCAATATTTTCCATTATGACCATTGACAGGACACTAACAAAGAAAACTCATAAGTGAATTCTTAATTTAGCAGTGTTAACATTATTGCTCAATAAACAAATTCCCTGCAGTTGTTTTTTTATTTCACTCCATTTTTACATTTTGAAGACATCATACTGAATTTTATAAATTATTTTTATTAAATTTTTAAGATGTTCCTTATTTCTCATGGCATATGTCTTCTCACTTCCTTTTTAAGCAGAAAAATACTTGACTATATAATCAAAATTAGGAACAAAAAATTTCTCTAAGAAAAAATTTATTGTATAAAACTGTGCATTCTTTGGATTCGTTATATTTTATTTTTAAAGTAGTTTTCATATTAGTGGACAATATGAAATTTTGCCCAAAATGTATATGACTCAAAAGAGATGATAGATAAGTAAAATGTCTTCATATGCATATGGTAAAATTTTAGGTAGTGATAATGGAGCTTTGTAACTTTAGCCAACATTTGAATGAGGAGAATCTTCATAATTTTTCCAGTTTCGCATGAGCTAACATGCAATGTTTAGATAATATTTTCAAGTTAAAAATATGCTCTTAAACACTGCATTTTTAGAATATGCAGAAACACTCAAGAAAAAGCTTGAGTGTATTATGTTTTCATAAAATGATACAGAAAGTGAAATACAGAATGCAGGTGATACTGAAAATGACAGCTAACCGAAGTAGATGAATACTTCCTATGAGGAATTATTAAATAATGGCTGGATGCATCCTTAGACAGTTGGCTATCTAACTATTCTGAGACAATTATTAGTAGCCTCATTTTGAGTACCACCATTGTTGCAAATCCCTAGCACCTTTCTTGTTTTAAAGAGAGCTTCTAAGTAAGTTAATTTATGGTATAGTTTAGACTATCTCTTTTCTCTTTCACTTGAAATATTTCACATCATAAAATAGTTATCACCTAGTAGATAGATTCAAAGTGGAGAATTTGCTGCTTCCTTAAAAATGCCTTTTGGTCATCTCTGATGATGAATATTTAATACATCTAGTTAGATAAAGAGATTTTTGTTCCTGAAATGCCAGAAAACCTGTCAAGATGGTCATGTTTATATATTGCCTAAGGCATACTTGAACTGCATGTGAGAGTCAGGTTCCCTGGGTGTGTAATTTGTTAGTGACTTCAAAAACTCACATTTTGGAGTTTAGCTTTTTTTTTTTTTAATGCAGAGATATTCTGTGTATTACCCTTATTTGCCCATTGACTCAGAAGTGTGAGATATTTTCTAGAAGCATAATTTCTAGTGGAGAATTTGACATACAAAGCATTGTGTGCTTTCATCCAATAAGTTTAGCTGTATTCAGTTCTCTGGTACTTCTCTTTGCTTGAGAAAGTCTGTCCTAAAATACATTGTGTACTTTGGAGGAAAAAGAACCAGTCCATATTGTTACTTTAAATAATTCTGCATAAAGTAAAAATAGCCTTTAAAAATTTTTGATGCATAATAAAGATAATTATAGCTACATTTATGGACTTAAGTCCTGTGCACTGTGCTAAGCCCTTTGTATACATTATTTCATTTAGTTTCAAAGCAGCCCTAAGAGCAGAGTACTGTTATCTCCATTTGAAGATACCTATTGCCCAGAAAGTTTTAAGTAGATCTGCTCAAGGTCTGCAGCTAAGTAAAAGGCTCAGATTGAAACCCGAGTCATTTTTTCTCTTTGTGTTTTATATACTTTTATCCTTATGTAACATTAAATAGGTCCTTTAGTTTGATGGGCTCATTAGTTTTGCTTAATCTTTCCTTTCATCCAATATTTGGTTCTCATTTTAGTGTTTAGATTATGAAGTTGAGATACAGAGCTAATAACTAATTTACTGTTAGACTTTTTTTTAATGTGTCCAGTGGTTTTAAAATTTTATAAGTGGTCATGCAATTTAATTGAATATTAAGTTTGTGCCTACTAGAAATCTTTCAGAAAGTTCTTTAGTATTATTTTGTGTAATCATAGTGCTACTCGAGCTATAAGTTTTGCAATAGAAAGAATTCTATTTTGTGCTGTATTTTGTAACATAGGAGTGAATGGCAATTCCACCTTTATAAAGATATGAAGAAATCAATATTTCTGCCTTCAGAAACAAACTATTTTAATGTCATAAGTTTGCCAGTTCTGTTGATCATTTAGTGCATTGGTAGTTTTAAAATAGCTAATGCTGGAGTGAAAACATAAGAGAAAAATGTACTGAGTGTATTAGCAATAGGCTGTCATTTTCATGCAATCAAATATTGCATATTTAATCTTTTTAAAATTGCCTTAACTCTTAACTTTTATTTTCACTACTGATCAGTCTTTCTCTTTCCTAATTTAAGGGGATAAACAACCCTCAAGTGTATGTAGAAGAGAAATCTGACACATTAGAAAATAAGAATTTTAATTGGTGATTTGAAGCAGCTAGATTGATAACCGTGGGCTTAACAAGACTGACATTTTTAAACGAGGCCCTGTATACTTTCGGGGCTTCCCTTGTGGCTCATCTGGTAAAGAATCTGCCTGCAATGTGAGAGACCTGGGTTCGATCCCTGGGTTGGGAATATCCCCTGGAGAAGGGAAAGTTTACCCACTCCAGTGTTCTGGCCTGGAGAATTCCATGGACTGTGTAGTCCATGGTGTTGCAAAGAGTTGGACTTGACTGAGCAACTTTCACTGTATACTTTTGGACTTACCCTGGTGGCCCAGACAGTGAAGAAATTGCCTGTAATGTAGAAGATCTGGGTTTGGAAAAAAAAAAAAACAGATCTGGGTTTGATCCCTGGTTTGGGAAAATCCTCTGGAGAAGGAAATGGTAACCCACTCCAGTATGCTTGCCTAGAGAATCCCATGGACAGAGGGCCCTGACAGGTTGCAGTCGATGGGGTCTCAAAGAGTCGGACACGACTAAGCAATGAACACTTTTTTCTCTGTATACTTGAACATTGTTACCTGGGAGGTAACGCTAAACTTCAGTTCTTATAATTAATAGCACTTTTGTGGGGGAGAGACAAGTAATTAACCATACTCGCTCATTTCCTAAGTGGTTTAGAAGGTTGCTATCT